AAAAAAAAAGGAAAAAGGGGAAACGTGGAAAAAAAAAAAAAAAACCCCCCCCCCCCCCCCCCCCCAAAAAAAAAAAAACTGTAATGGGCTTTCTATTTAAGTTTCTAGATATATCAGAAACACTAGAGGGCAAAATAAAAGAACAGCTCTGTTATGATTTTCTAACATTTGCAACCAGTCAGACTTCTGTGCTAATTATGTAAAAAGCTGTTAAAAACTTATCTTGACACAGTATGCTTTTTCCGTATTTAAACATACTTTGATTGAACCTCCATGAAAATGGTGCTGAATTCAGATGCACACAATTGTTCTACGTATTCCAAACCCTTTGTTTCATTGAAGTATTTTCTTTGGACTGTTGTAAAAGTCACATTCTGTGAAGATGGAAGGGGAAAGCAAATAGTTTAAAAAGTTACACAGAATTTTTCCTCAGATTTCTTTATTTTTCTAGTGACATATGTTTCCAAGAAAATCTATCAACTGATTCATCAATCTGTCTTTGTAAAACTATTCAGTCTAGCTTATTAGCACAAAGAAGCCACACTACTGTCACTCATCTTTCCTCCTCTCTAGTAGTGAATACATACAAAAAGGCTCATACTACTGTTTTGGGCAAATTAATATAGGCTTTTTCTTGGATATTGTTTTTCCTCTCAAGAACTAGCTACTCCAAATTTTTTATTTAACCTGGATTTGGTTAAAATCAATGACTTCTTGGAAAGAGTTATTTTCACACTAGCATCAACGCTCACATCCAAACTGTAGTTTTCCCCTGTGAAGGGGTAAGCCCTGGGGATCATTATCAAGCCTTCAATGGTAAACAGGGAATAAAGATATGTAGGTCAATGTAACTGAATGTGTGCGATGAGCAACTGATTTATGCAAGAAAAAGAGGAGAGAGGTCAGGAAGTAGAAGAGGACTCGTGAAGAAGCCATCAGCAGCGTAGACATGGAAGCAATTCAAATACATAAAATTTCTGAGGCTTTAATACTCATAAATTACATATACTAGCTCATCTCATCCTTTTTTACCCTGCCAGTGCTATTTTTCCCATTACGCAATACATTAGCCCCACCTATTTATCACATTCAGAGAACAAAGAAGGGGCAAAGGAAAACGATTGATTTTTTCATCTCTGAATCTTCCCTAGGTTCAGTGTTGCTCCAATTACTTCAGTGTCACAAATTCAAAACTTCCAGCTTCCATCAGTAATATACTTATCTCTGTAATTGTCAGGATTAGAACTTAGCAGCGCTGGAGCTGCATTTAGAATATTCTTTACCATGGTAAAATTAGGCCCAAAAATCATAGAAAACACAAAATCTGACTGCATTTAAGGTTTTAGAAGTTGTGGAAAACTCTCACATCAACAATCATTTAAAAGTGATCAACACGAGTTTTAAAATATGGAATGAAATTTAAGAGCTTACCCTGAAATGTTCTGTTATCAGACTGAACAATTTTGTTGTGTTCCCTGCATCACAAGCAGTGTTTGACATTATTATTTCTAGTGGTGTTAAAATCTTGAGTTTAGTAATAACCTTAACAAAAAAATTTGAAATAATTCAATAAAAATCCATATATAATCTAAAATATTTTTATATGAACCAGCAATAAAAACCTACAGAATCCTTGTATTTTAAAATCACAGTTCCAGTCTTGTAAATAAAGACCAAATTTTCTGCTAACTTCTACACTGAGACAAATTTATCTGTATCTATTGATACCGATATACAAATACACATGAAACTAAATTTAAAAAAAAAAAAGGTATCTATCCCCTGTTATATAAACACAGAAACATGCTTGTCATCGAAGCAAGAGATAATGTCTATGATGGGAGAAGGAATTATTTTCAACACATGGCAGCTTTCTGGGCCTGCAGCTGAAAACTTAATGGTGCTCTGGAAGATGAAGAAATGCAACAGGTCTGAATATTAATAATCTTTTGATTGAGACTTGTTTTAGACTTTGTTTTAGACTTGTTTTAACCTCCCGTTATAACATTTATCTCAGTCTTACCTTTTTCAATATGGTTCAAAACATGCATATTTAAACCACAGAAGGCACAGAAGTACCACAGAAGTTATTTCTGTAGCTGCCAGGTTCAATATGTACTTATCTGTGTTAAGACCACGATAAGCTTTAAAAGCACTAATGATCAAAAAAATGACATTATACAACACATTTTAGTAAATAGATTTGACAGCTGTTTATATTCTAAGTCATATCTACTTATCCTCCTAATTAAATTTAGATTTTATTTCTTTGAATATTGTAGAGATGCTACAAGCCACATGATTTTCTAGCATGCCGAACTACAACAAATCCATTAAATAAGATGTTTTATTAATGCTGGTGTTGCATAAACCAGAGACATTACTCTCCAAATTCACGTAGAGTATCCAGTGCTGCTAGGCAGAACACTTGGCTGTAAATTAAGTGAATTTCATTTCAAGCTAACTGAGAAGGAATATTTATGCAATCATACAAAGCCAGCCCCACAGCTACCCCCACCAGTCATGTTGCCTGATGAAAAACATCCGCAAGTTCTACTACCATGTATTGCCCACTGCTTTTCAAAACAAGGCATCTCACTCCCACGTAGTTCAAACACACTATTTTTTGCAGAAAAGTTATTTTTCTTTTGCAAAACATTCTTTCCTCTTTTATCTAAAAATCTAGGCACAATAAAGAAAATAGCAGTCCTTTCAACACTGCACATCTTCTAGAACTTGTTACTTTCATTTTTGAGAAATTTCTTCTACAAACTAAAAATTTTATTGCCCATTAGTCATAAGCTTTTTTAAGAAAGACAGTCACAATAATTAGCCTGAAAGGGATACAGTAATTAAGTATGCAACAATACCTTGGCATAAGTTGTATTGTCCGCAAATTGTGATAATATCACCTCAGGATTTTTTAAGTCAATACTGGCCATTCCTACTTCACCTCTGGCAAGGCCTCTTCCTTCTACTACAGCTACAATAACCGACGCAACAGTATGAGCAGAGACTGCAGATGAGGATGTAACTGTAAAACAGTTGCATATGTTCAGTTATGAGCCACTACTTAACATTTACAGAATAATACTTTGACATTCCAAGTGAAATATGTGTCTATATTCCCATGTCTGTGGAAAGACCTTTCAATTTACCAAACTTAGTTAAAAATTAAAAATCCTGGTTGCTGAACTCCTTACTTGCCACACCATACAGACAAGGCACACTTTACGAAGTACGAACATCATACTCTCACATTAAAAGACTGATTGAATGCAATACGATTGTCAGAACTAATCACATTTCTGTAGCAAGTGAAAATGCAGTTTCTGAGTCATGATCTCTGTACTAAACAAAAAAGATCTTTAGTACCTGCCAAAAGGCATGGCTATTATTAAACACTTGCCACTTTGAATTCAAAACAATGCATAGCTATTACCACTAGTTAAAATCAGGTGTATTGTTCAACAAGGGCAAGTGTAGGGTCCTGCACCCAGGGAGGAATAACACCACGTGCCAGTTCAGGCTGGGGGTTGACCTGCTGAAAAGCAGATCGGTGGAGAAGGACCTGGGAGCCCTGAGGGACAACAAGTTGACCATGAGCCAGCAATGTGCCCTTGTAGCCAAGAAGGCCAATGGTATCTCGGGGTGCATGAGGAAGAGTGTGGCCAGCAGGTCGAGTGAGGGTCTCCTCCCCCTCTACTCTGCCCTGGGGAGGCCACATCTGGAGTACTGGGTCCAGTTCTGGGCTCCCCAGTTCAAAAAAGACAAAGAACTACTGGAGAGAGTCCAGCAGAGGGCAACAAACGCGATGAGGGCACTGGAGCATCTCCCTGATTTGGAAAGGCTGAGGGAACTGGGTCTGTTCAGCAGCCTGGAGAAGAGAAGACTGAGAGGGGACCTCATCGATGCTTATAAATACCTTAAGGGCGAGTGTCAAGAGGATGGGGCCAGACTCTTTTCAGTGGTGCCCAGTGAGAGGTTAAGGGGCAATGGGCACAAACTGAAACTCAGGAAGTTCCACCAGAACATGAGGAAGAACTTCTGTACTGTGAGGGTGGCAGAGCACTGGCACAGACTGCCCAGAGAGGCTGTGGAGGCTCCCTCTCCGGAGATATTCAAAACCCGCCTGATGCGATCCTTTGCAACTCGCTGTAGGTGACCCTGCTTTGGCAAGGGGGTTGGACTGGGTGGTCTCCACAGGTCCCTGCCAACCCTGATGATTCTGTATTAATTGCAGAGAGATACTGTAAGTTAACATTCCACTAAAAGCACAACTCTGATCGAGGCGGCTTAGATCTTGTCAAGTTAGGGGAAACAAATGTCTTATATATATTTAATCTGATTTTATGCTAAACTTATTAAACTATTCTAAAATATATATATCTTGAGATCCAATAATTTAATTTTCATTTTGGTGAGGTTTTTAAAAAATATTTTTTGTATCTTAAAACTGGTTTGGCTTAAATTTTCCCAAATATCATCACACACTCAACTAATCTCATCTCCTTCCTCAAATATCCAGCCACCTCTCCGAGACACCCCTTACAAAGATCAAGTGTGAAAATTAAGACTACAGCTCCTTAACACCTGTCTTCCTTTCTGAAGACCCCAAACCTCATTTTCCTATCTAGTCTCTTTCTTTTCCATGCACATAAAACCACCAACCCAGCTGCAATTTGCCCAACATAACATAGCAAATCTACTTTGGGATTATACCGTAGACCTACAATAAACCTGATGTTTATACCTAAACTGAACTCTATAGACCTATGATTCCTAATCTCATGTCATTCAGATCCAAATGGCTAATTTAAAAAATGGGGCTATTTTGTATTCAACTATAGTTTATTGCAGTACAGTGGACTGAAGACAAATTTCAATGCATTCCCTCATCTCACTCCTCCCACACCACTTCATACAGTACTGAACTTTAAATAGCACAGAGTTAAAAACCTACAAGTCTTCTAGCACTACTGTTTCGGTGCCTAAAACCCAAGTTGTGAGCCAATTAACAAGCACAGTCTCAGAGATGAGGTATCATCTGCAATCAGAACCGGGGGGATATAAAGTTGGACAAAATGAGCTGACCCTTCCACTTGTCCCCAGTTTCCCTCTGAGTGCCTGCCATCACAGATCTGTGCAACAATGTGTCTTAAGCAATAGTAACAAGAGCTCCCACACGCCAAATTATGCTCCACTAAGAAGCACTGCTTTTAAATGTTAAGTTACAGTACTTCCTAAATATGACATTTAACTAATGGGATGATGCCATTTTAATTTGGTGTACTGAACTTCTTTTAAGCTATGAAAGGCCAAAAATGTATAATACAGTGCTTCTTTAGTATCTCAGCTAATTTTTGTTTCATGTTTGTAAAATGATGTTACATTCTTCCAAATTCTGTTGGAGAAGCTACTAATGATGCTTTGTTCGGAAATCTGTGACCAAAGATTGTGAGACTGTGCTATTCCAACAGGCAAATGTGTAACTTGCTGAGCAATACTCAAGTAATTCCCACGCTATGAAAAGTGGCTGCTACATACCCTTCGGTATAGCTTCTCAGACAAACTAGAAAAACCCTTCATGACCTCAGTCGTCTTCAACTTTCAGCTCAAAGCCAAACTAAACCTTACAACAGCTGAATTGAACAGATTCTTCACTTAAATCTTCTTGAATTCACTTAAATGTTCACAAGAGATGCCATTATTAAATAACCATAAAGTCTAAAGCATTCAAAATAAGAAATATACTTGCATATACAAGGCATGCCCCGTTTACACTTTCAAAACCATCTAAACGGTATTGGATTTTGCTAGCATAGACATATTTACTGACCTGAAACACCAATAAACTCTACCTACTTTGTAGTGACTTATTTACATTCTTTTCCACCAAACAGCAATGGAATAAAAGTATTCTCAAAACAGAACAATCCTGTTGAGCAGGCTTAGTACACCAAAACTACCATTTTCTTCTGAATAAACTCACCATGTACCCCAACAATCAAAATCTATCCTACCAGGAATCTGGAAGGGCAAGATCAGATTTAGAGTTTATCTAAGAACTTAAAATAACAAGGCTGTTTGAACCGCAACTGGCTACCACCTAAGCGAAATCTTTGATGCTGCACACAACTGAGTCTGAATCTTTATTTATTCTGTCTATGTTCTGTAGGCCACAAGATGTCAGCTACAGCATTCACATAAAGTTTCACCTGAGGCCTGCTGAAAATGTAATTGTTATTCTGAATCTTCTACTCAGAACCACCCCTGGCCCATCAGCACCAGCTGATCACAATAGTAACTCTTCTTTCAAAAGCAACTAAAAGATGAAGATAGTAATGAGTATTTTAGATTAGGTATGGTAACTACACAAATTTTATTTGGGAGATGGTTAGTTTTTCAGTTTGTCACACTGAAAAAAAAAATACAGCAACAGTTCTTCAGAATGGGTTATTCTGGATATGTAGTCTTCAATACAGATCAATGAAAGAGCGATCAAGGAATGTCACATACAATGCAGCAAGGATAAACAAATATATAGATATGCACACAAAGCACAGAATCATTCAGGTTGGAAATGACCTTCAAGATCATCGAGTCCAACTGTTCACTCAGTACTGCCAAGCCCACCACTAAACCATGTCCCTAAGCACCACGCCTATACGTCTTTTAAATACCTCCAGGGATGGGGACTCCACCACTTCCCTGGGCGGCCTCTTCCAGTGCTTGACAACTCGACAGCCTGACAATTTCTTCGCTGAAGAAATTTCTCCTAATACTCAATCTAAACCTCCCCTGGTGCAACTTAAGGCCATTTCCTCTTGTCTTATCGCCCCTTACTTGGGAGAAGAGACTGACCCCCACCTCACTACAACCTTCTTTCAGGTCATTGTAGAGAGTGATAAGGTCTCCCCTCAGCCTCTTTTTCTCCAGGCTAAACCACACACACATAAAATCAAAGGAAACTGAAGATCTGGGTTTGTTTCATTGTTAAGCTGCATAAAGTCTAGAGAAATCTGCTCTGTGGGTTTCAAGATCATAGTTACTCTGATTCCCCAATTCCTGGAGTAGCCACAAAGAAAACTGTGGATCACAACAGCTGTAGGAAATTACAAACTTCATGTTACTTACATTTTGCAAAACAGTAATTCAGTTCAGCAGCAAGTAGCCAATTTGTATTCTTACCAGGAATAGATAATTTTTTTTAAAACAATTTTTAAAATAATTTAATTGCTTCAGAGAATTACCATTAAACAACTTCAAGAACACTAAAGATTGAACTGATAGTGATTAGTCAGACTGTGAAAGAACCAACTTTGAATCCCATTACTTCTCCACTACCAGAGCACACAGAGACACGTAAGATGGCACAAGGCATCGCTATGCTCTAACACAACTTTGTTCATAAGGAGCCCTGCAAAATGTACACCCAGTGAGCTACTGTGTAAGGTGGTTCTACACCTATGCCAAAATAAAATACAAGAAACTTGAGAATGAGATCATGATATGTGACGTACGATGCATTACAAGCCTTAAAAGAAACCCCGATTACAAAAGTGCATAAATTTGGGCTCTTCAGTTCAGTCACCACACAAACCAACATGTCCACAAAAATAGTTCAGTTCTGGACAATCTGAAAAAAGTCTGAATTCTCACTATATTGATAATTCATACATGAATGCAAAGTAAGTGACAAGAGGTTGCAATGTCAAAACATCTACACAGTATCTAAAGCAGTATTTTCCCCTATGGGTGCATCTTTCATTGGCAGGCATCCTCTGTAGTACAGAACACATTATGTTTTGTGTTCTGAATATATTTCAGTATCTTACTGTATTACATTGAAAACTAAAGTGTGTTTAATAAGGTTAGAAATGTAAGTAGGGCTATTTCCTTTAAGAGCTGTTAATCTTACCTGAATATCCCATAAGAGGGGTATGGCTTCTGCAAACAGATCTAGTAGAGAGGGGTGTTTTTCCTATACATGTGCTATTCAGGCCTCGCACAGAAGAAGAACTTGTGAGATTCAATGCGCTAACATTTTCTACACAAGAACTCTTGTCCCCAAAATA